CAGGAGCCTCCTGTGAGGTTCCAGGCGCCGGTGAACACGCCGCGGGTGTGTCGTTTGGGGCCCTGGGCCGGCGCCTCCAGTGTCTGCATCGCCCATGCGTCCCCACCTTGGCCCCCAGACGCCTTCCTCCGATTTTTGGAAAGAGCTACAGCTGGCGCTGCCACGGAAGGTGCAGTACAGAGCGATGGAGGGAGACCCCCAGACGCGGCTGCAGGATGACAAGGACCCCATGCTGATTGTGCGGGGCCACGTCCCCGAGGGCCAGGCCCTGGACCCCGAGCTGGACCCCGACCCCGAGGGGGACCTGGGTATGTGCACCCAGCCCCAGCCCAACCCTGGGAAACTCGGCCCCGTGCAGGGGGCTGCACGGGGCTGAGGGGCCCAGGTGGGGGGACTCGTCCCTGCCCTCTGGGGGTGGGCTGGACCCCCCAGGACCCCCTCCCCTCACAGCTTCTTTCTCAGAGGCGCTTGGGCCTGAGACCTGGCCAGTGCCTCTGGGACCTCCAATGTCACTACTCAGGAGGGTGAGCAGGGAGCGTGGGCTTCAGGCCTGGTGGTACCCCCAGGTGTCCGCGGGCCTGTCTTTGGGGAGCCATCAGCTACGCCGCATGCAAGCCGGGCCTCGCTAGGAGAGGGCCGGGGCAGCGAGGTGGACGTCTCGGACCTCGGCTCCCGGAACTACAGCGCCCGCACGGACTTCTACTGCCTGGTGTCCAAGGACGACGTGTAGCCGCCCCTCCCCCATCCCCTGGGAGCCGGACCTGGAGCCCCCTGGGGGCGGGGGTGGCCCTAGTGCCCCTCCTTGTGCCAGAAAATAAAGTCCTTTTGGACCCTACCTCTGCCTTGTCCTGTGCTGTCCTGGGCAGGAAGGGGGGGTGCACTGTGTTGGGTGGGGCACCTCTTCCACCTCGGGCTCCCAGGGCCCCCGGCCCCTCCCTTTTTTCATCCCTGTGGCCTCGCAGTCACCAAATCGGGCTGTCCACTCCCACTCTCCCTCTCTCTCTCCTCCCAACCCTCCCCCTCTCCATCCTGCCCTCCCT